GCTCTTGCAGTGAAGTTACCACCATTCAGTTCATTCTTGTCCTAGAAAATGGTCTTTTGAGTTGATGGTTACGTTCAAATAACTGGTTATCTGTTATAGTCAATTGATATTTAATATTTCTTTTTAAACATAACAAAAGCCGACACTGTTGAAGTATACATAGTAACTCCTTTCACAGAAACTAATACTGCATTTTGCTTATTCCAAAGGTACAAACTTTGGGGAGGAGGGGAATCGCTCTACATAGTCCAGATATAGTTCTCTGTGCTTTAGCTTATTCACTCCATCATTAGTCCACCATAGGGGTAAGTAATATTATCCAGCTTTTACAAAAGAGGAAATCCAGTTTCAGAGCGTTGAAATAACTTACCCAAGGACATACAGTAATTAACTGTCAGAGTTCAGTGGGCTTTTACTGTATTCTTTTCAATTCAGATGCTGGAAAAATAGATGATAGGCATCTAGATTCTGCATACAAACAGTACCCCACTGAAATTAAAGTCTTCTATATTTGATGTATTGACCACATGTCTCTACCAAGATGGACCTTATCCTTAGGGAATGACTCTAATTTTTACTGCTCTAATTATGTAATTATAGCAAAGATCTTTTGAATAGTTTCCTTTTGCCACAATTAACCAAGTTACCTACAACTATAAAGTAGTATTCATCAACAGTTAGTTTTCAGCACTTAAGATGTCTAAGAAAAATAAATTATAAAGCAGATGACTGAGTCCATATATTTGGTTGTACCTAATTTATACTTCATAAGATTTTAGTCTGCTATATGCTCGGATGTGACTATCATTTTCTTTAAAAAAAAAAATACCCTTGAAGAAGTTTCGAGCAAGGTTAGTCACTTTTAATGCAATCATTCTTACACAAGTTATAGTTTGAGGGTATCCCTGAATGTCATCCTTTTTAGCTAGTTGTATTACTTTGCACTGTTATATACTTTTTACCATAAATCTGATATTAGTACTTATTAGTACTAGGTGAGAATAATTTTAAAATCTCCATTTGTTTCAGAAGAATGATGATGTGAAGAAGGAACTCCAACTCTCTTCAAATAAAGATAATTATTCTTCATTTGAATTTATCATGGAATTTTCATACTATTCATTTTATTGGACAGATGTCTCTCTCAAGTCTACATCTGTTATTTTTTCAAGTATATTTAATTCTTCACCTGCAAGTTTCTGACATCTAGGTTTCCGTGTCTTTCCGTTTAAATTCATTATACGTTTTTCAAATTCACACTTAGTCAGCATTGTAAGTGAAAAAGAGACTAGACTTCAACTGACTATGTAAACATGTCCTTGGTTATGAAAGTCATACAGTTCTTCAGGGGTTCACTTCTTCTACACCCTAAATTATGGCTACCTAGTTATTTGGGGATGTTACAGTGCAGTTATAATTAGAATAGTTGCACCCTACAATGTACAGTGTTTTTTATGTTAAAGTTGAATTTTCCAAATCTATGGGAAGCTATTAAGGCATAAATCATATGATATTTACATATATCATCTTAATAGATACAACTGTTCCAATTTTCTGGTTTCTGCTACTTACTTTGGAGACAGCATTCCTTTGCTACTTTTATCTCATCTGGTTGATTTGATATGACTTTCAAGTCCCACATTCCTATTTCAGGGGAAATTTTGACAGCCCCTCTGTTCCAGGTATTGGGCAGAGCTCTCGGACAATGGTGAAAGATCAGTAGTCCAACACAAGGGATTCGATTTTTAATAAAATAATTATACAAATAAACATTTATTTATAAATTGAAATGACTTCTTTGAAAGAAGGAACATATAATGAAACTCAAAGATCAGAGCAGGATACCTAGGGAGTCATGTGAGAAAGTGTTTACTAAACCATGTAGTCTTCAATGCTTTAAAAAATGTTTTCTGAATCAGAGACTTATATCTCTGTTTATTTCTACACTTTATTACTCATCAGGAAATATACTGTTTCCCATCATTATCCAAGGTTTACAAAATTCCCATCATCCTTTATAATCCATACAGCTCCTGTGCCACACTTAGTTGGCTGTTATTCTACTTGTGAAGAGTTTAGTGAAATACAGTAATTTTCTTTGTCTTACCAACTATTTTCAAATTTTAAAAAGTAGTCTTCACTGTGTGTGTATTTGTGTGTGTGTGTGTGTGTGGTGGTGGTTAAAGTGGCAGGATGTCTCAAAATATAAGTATAATTGATTCATCACAGCCCCAAGACACTCTGAAGTATCCATGCAAGAAGAGGTGAAGCAACAGAATAAAAGTGGCATTAATCATGTTACATTGGGGAAATGGGTATTTTAAAAGAAACATAATAATAGGTTAAATTACTGAATATGTACTGTGTCCTCAACATCATTTTATCAACTCTATAAATTAATATATGTGTTCTACATAGTTTCATGAAGTCTGCCTATACTATGATTATCTCCATTTTATAGAAGGGGAACCACAAGGACAATAATCACAGTATTGTCACATAAAAAAAGATGAGTTCTAAACTCAAGTATTTCTATTGGGTAGTCTCTACTGTTAACCAGTGAGGTATAACATCTAGTTCTTAATTTTACTGGTGCATTAAAATCCATTATTGTTGAAAATATAAAGCCTTCTAATTTTATCTTCTTGTTACTTTTTCCTTAATAAAAAAATCAATGGAAAAACTAGATGCTTTTTTAACTGATACTTTAGAGGCAAAATAAATAAATAAATAAAACAAGAAGAGATATGCCTATACTCAGTTGGTGCCTGCTAGATCTTAAGAAAATGTCTCATTGAGTTTTAAAATTCAAAAAAAAAAATAACTTGAGCATCACTTAAACTTACTAAATTTATTTTTTAATTATTTTTATTGAGATAACATTGGTTTAGTTTTGGCTTGTTTTTGCCTGACGCTTTGTTTTGTTTTCACACATGAGTGAAACAATTTTGTATTTGTCTTTCTCTATATGACTCATTTTGCTTAGCATAACCCCTCTAGTTCTACCAATATTGTCAAAAATGTCAACTGTTCATCTTTTTTATAACTGAGTATTATTCCCTTTTATGCATAAATACCACATATTAATCCACTAATCAATAGATGATTGGAAATTTACATTAAATAGTGCTCTAACAAACATAAGAGTCATATATCATTTTGAACTAGTGTTTTGCTTTCTTTGTTAGGTACCTAGAATTGACCTGTGGGGTCATATATTAGACCTATTTCTAATATTTTGAGAAAAAAATGCATTTCTATAGTGAAATTAGTTAACTTAAGAGTATGTACTTGAACATTTTAAATGATTAGTGAGATATACAGCTGAAATTTCTATGACCATTTACAAACTTAAATCGTTAAGTCACCTGTTTAACCTCCCTCCAGACTCTTTTCTTAGATTATGCTCTACAGGGAGGTTGTAAAATACAACATAAAAATACTTGAGTTATCAGGATAAAACTTATAAAGCCCTGTTAATTTTTATATTGGGATCATTTGACATAACTCGGAGTAATTGATATGATAAAAATAATTTAGTAATCTAAATTGGTACCCAAATAATGTTAATATAAAACACATAGCACAATCATTAGGAAAGTGAAATCCCAATTGGCTAAGTGTGCTAATGCATATGAAGATCATTTCACAATCTGAAAATATTATTCAATTTTATTTCTCCCTGTAAATTGTGAGTAATATGCAGTTGTTGTGAATATTGTTAATATTAACTATGAATTCCAATTCATACATAGTATACATATACAAATATGTTTCTCTTCTTTGAGGCTGTTGGAATACTTAAAT